TAAGCGCCATGTACTCCGCCTCCGTAGTCGATAGCGCTACGGTTGCTTGACGCTTCGCACTCCAGGATACAGGTCCTCCGGCCATGGTGAAGACGTATCCTGAGGTAGATCGGCGTGTGTCAACGTCTCCTGCGTAATCGGCGTCGACGAAACCAATGGGATCGATGCTGGCCCCACGGTGGTAAGTTATTTTGTAGCTGAGCGTCCCCTTCAGGTATGCGAGGAGGTGGAGCATCGCTTTCCAGTGTGCTGGCCCAGGATTTGCCTGGAAGCGTGCAAGAACGCTGAGCGCGTATGCGATGTCGGGGCGTGTGGCGACCTGTGCCCACATGCACGATCCGAGAGCCTCACGATATGGTTTATTGTTCATGAAGTGATGGTCTTCGTCAGTTTTGGCGCAGTCGGACTCGGATAGAATGGTTCCTGAGGGTAAGGGGGTGGATTTTGCGTTGCAATGTAGCATCCCAAAGCGTTCTAAAATTCGCCGAAGATAAGCTTCTTGGGATAAGGAAATCGCACCCGTTTCCTCATCCTTCTCCACTCGAATCCCCAAAATATATCCCTGGTCCCCTACATCTTTAATCTCGAAACACGCCTCAAATTCCTTCTTCGCCTTTTCCGCTTCTTCCTTCGTTGAAGACGCCCCGAATATATCGTCGGTGTAGGTGCTGGTAATGGTGTGTTCTCCGTTGATCATGCGTGAATGAACGCATGGGTCCGCCTGAGACTTGTAATATCCCAGAGATTCGTATGCGTTGGACATTTCACCTTGGAAGTCGTATCCGCCCTGCATCATGCCGTATAGGGTTTTGATGACCCGTAAGACCTTATCTTCCTCCCCCCGGGCGACAAAACCAGGTGGTTGGTTCATGTATGTAGTGAATTTGTTCGTGCTGTAAAGGTACGCGGCGACGATATCAACTTGCCAAATATGAAGGTCGTGGGCGGCGGCGATGGCGGCAACCATGCGGAAGGACTCCAAACGGACAACAGAGGCATAGGTTTGGTCGTAATCGAGTCCAGGAATCTGGGTATGGCCCTTTGCCACTAAACGAGCCTTCCGTCTAGCGATATCACCATCAGCGGTGTATTTGTGCGCATAGACCCACATTGAATCAATGACACGCGCGTCGGGGGGCGCTTCGACCAGCTCGAATACGCCCCTCTCATTGAGGACTGCCCATTCAGTCTCCATGGGTGGCCTCCAAAGCTCTGGACGAGTCATTGCCTCCCAGTAGCTACGCGGGATCTGGGAATCAGGGAGCGTAGTCAGTAGGACTGTAGTCCCAGGTGTGGGCGCACCTGTCCCCAGGACGGCTAAGCGGGCAGAGCGCCGAGGTGGTGCTAACTCTGCTGATGGTTGAGCTGCTGGAGAGTCGTTGCCTGGTGTAGATGGAGGGATGGATGTGGCGTGAGTTGTGGAATCCGGGTGTAGAGGTGGGTCAGTAGCACGAGGACGTGGAGCCAAGGGTTTTGGTGGGATGACCACGCCAGAAGGTGTGTCACCGGCATCATGTGAGGTTGTAGGTGTAACATCGTCGTCGAAAGCGATGTCGAAAGTAGGTGTGGGTGTGTCGGTGATAGTACGGTGTCCCTTTCCTTCCTCAAAAATGACATCACGGCTTTTAATTGTCGTGCCTGATGCCCGATCCCACAACTTATAGGTACCACGCCCAAAATAACCAATCAAAACGTATTTGATTGATCGAGGCGACAGCTTTGACGTGCCTATCTCCTCTGGGATCTTGGCATATGCAGTGCATCCGAAAGGGCGTAGGTGAGATACGTCCTGCCGCTTATTCGTCCATTTCTCAGCAGGTACACGTTCAGGCTGACGAGTGGAGGGGATGAGGTTGCCTGTGTAGATGGTGAAGGCAGCGGCGTCAGCCCAGAGAGATGGAGGTAGGCCAGAGTCGGCGAGAAGACAGCGTGTTCTCTCAATGATGGTTCGCATCCCACGTTCAGCCACCCCGTTTTGTCCGTGTGCATAAGGTGCGCTGAACTCGACAATGATGCCGTGTTTTGTTGTATAATCCCTCCACTTGTCGTTATAGAACCCCATGTCAACCCTCACACGGATTAATTTCTTCCCTGTCTCTCGTTCCGACTTAACGTGAAATTCGGCGAAGGCAGTGAGGGTCGTGTCCGCAGACTTGGAGTTCAGGAAGTATCCCACACGGTAAGAGGATCCCCCATCGTTAAAAGCCATCATGTACTCTGCTCCCCCAACAGAGCGGACACGAGCTGGCCCCCAAAGGTCAATGTACACCCTCTCCAGCACCTCTGTCTCACGTTCCACCACCTGATCATATGGGCGCGCCGTCTGCTTCCCATATATGCAATCCTCACATCTTCCTTCGGGCTCGACACTTCCCACAATGTCGAGTCCATCCACCAACCCTTTCTTGGCCATGTCGACGATGGAGCGTGTACCAATGTGTCCAAAACGTCGATGCCAAACTTCGAGATTGGTAGGCTTTGCAAGGGAGTGTGCGACGAGAGCGTGGGTGGTGGAGATATGCGGTTCAACCGATAAGAGGTACATTCCGTTATTTCCTGTACCTTTCATCAATGTTCTCTTCTTTCCCTCATGTAGGTCATAAAAGGTGACGCCTCCCCCACCAAAAAGCGCCCAACAGTTCGCTTCATCGAGTTTTCCAATGGAGATGAGGTTGGCGATGAGATCAGGTGTGTGAACTGCATGTTTGAACGTTATTGTCGTCTTTAGTGACCCAGAGACGATAGTTTTGGTGACCGTTCCGTGTCCGACAATACGGAATTGACCACCTTTATTCGCAGGTTGCCCCTCGTCGGGTTTGGACAGTGCGTGGTATGTACTGAAGTCTGAACGGTTGACGAAACAATGTTTGTTCGCCGCAGAGTCCGCATAGGTGGGTACGTCTTGATCATTTTTGGTTGTGGAGTGATCGTTTGTCAGGTTGGAAATAAGTGCGAGGGTTATTTCAGATGTGGGTGAGGTGTCGGTGAGGGCTGCCGTTACTGATGAGACGTTTGCAGGTGTCGTTTGGGAGGTGGAGTTGCTCGCTCCCCCACGTTGTCCAAATCCAGGAGGGAACTGTCCCTCTTTTCCTCCCCCACGCCAATAACAGTTGGCGATGGTGTGACCTCGTCGTCCGCAATTTCTATTTGCACACTGAAGCTGGCTGCGTGGACGTCTGGCGTCTGTCTGTAACGCCGTTACGACGTTAGCGGGGTTTGAGACAGACTTAGAGCGGTCTGTGCGGCTCCAGTGGATCATTAACCGACTAATGACGTCCGCGGATGATTTCGCCTCATACAGCGTTCCTACAACGCTGTCCCAAGATTCTGGGAGCGAAGACAAGATGATCATCCGGAAATCCGCATCGGTGATATTCGCGCCAGCATTGTTCGCCGTTACCCATTTCGTACGGAGGTTGGAGACATGGGTAGGGAAGTCGTTACCGTCGGAGAAGACAGTGTTACGGAGATCACGCTGGGTGGTGACAGCGGCGAGGTCAGAAGAAATTTTGTATTGGGAGGTAAGTGAAGTCCAAGCTTCCGCTGCAGTGCCATCGAGTTTAAGGCCTAACCCAATGGCGTTTTTAGTGTTGTATAGAAGTAATGCGCGCGCCCATGCATCACGCATCGCCCATTCCGATCCTGAAGGGGTAGTGGAATACCAGGGAGTGGGATCGTCGGGAAGTGGAATGTTTGGCGCAACGGGGGTGTAGTGTAAATCAGTGGGATGTTGGGGGGAAGCCGGATTTTGTATAGTCCCTTTTAAGTAGCCTAGAACGCCTCGGCTGCTGGCCGCAACTGTAATGAGGGTTTCGAAGGTGGCAAAGTTTGTGCCGTCGAATTTTTCTGTATCCGAGAAGATAGGTGGGTTGGCGTTCGACGACATTTTTATGGGAATGTATGTGGGGACAGAAATTGAGCTTTACGAGTCGCAAGTGGGGTAGTAAAGCAAGTAGCAAGCAGTGTCTGTAGTTCCGTTTATTAGAGCGCAACGGGGCCCATAACCTGTAGACGTACGGAACTCAGAGTCAGACACGATGTGATGACGACTGTATTGTTTAGCTACCTGTAGACGTACGGAACTATAGTAGAAGTAAATGTAAGTCTCGGATAAGTAAATATAAGTAGAAAAGATCTCACCTCAGAGTCAGACACGATGTGATGACGACTGAGGTGAGAGAAAATAAAGTTCAGGTTTATATATACGAAAAACGGTGGCTTGAGTAAAGACTGGTAAATAACGGAGGCAAAAGTATGGATAAAAGAAAAGGATAAACGCATTAGGAAATGCACAAACAGAACGTACGCGTAAACAGTGAGGTCACGAGGGGTCTCCTCTAACACGCAAGGGCGCTCATGTCCGCCACTATAGAGGTCATGACGCTACCAGGCGGAGATACGCTTGAGTGACGAGGAACGTACTTTTGACGTTGACTACCTGTGAGTGAGAAATGATCAACGTCTTCAACGGGTGGGCCAAAGGAAGGAAAAACGCACCATGTCGTGCCACCACTTAATACTTATCAACGTCGATATCCTTGACGAGACTTCATACGCCGATCCCAGCATTGTTGGCGAGGATATCGACCTGGCAAAATGCATATTTCACTGCCTGTTCAAGGACGCTGACAGCCTCCGGCGAGGTTGTGTCAATACTCACCACCAGGACCTGGCCTTGCTGTTGATCTTCAGAGTTTCCACTTTTGTTTCCTCCTGCTTCTGCACATTCCACGCCCCTAGGACCAAGCCGGACACACCTGCCTTGGCAAAGGCTAATGCGATTCCCTTTACAACAGAAAAGGGAACGTTAGAGTCTGGAAAACTCAGATTTGACTGGAACATACCCTATGCCCTGACTCGCTCCAGCGATAAGAACCGTTCTACCAACCTGTAAATCAGGAATGACAGCCTGTGGAGCAGGTTAGACATCTTGATGATGATGCGTTTCCGTGAATTGGCAGGGAGAGACGGGAAACATGGGAGGGAAAGCATCAGCCGTCATGCACATGCGTAACTTGGTTACAGCTTATTATATAAGCAAGTCGAACCACTTTTCGCAGTCTTCTCTCAGACACAATGTCCGCCAAATTTCTCTTGTGTTCCCCACTCTTGCCGACTATGCTTTTGCCACTCTAAGATGCCTTTCTACTCATGCAGCGACCGTCATAGTAGAATCCGCAACTTAATTGGTCCGACACGACACGACACGGCAATGCACATCAGGTCCAACACGACACGACAATACACCACCGTGGATGTATTCGCTCCAATCCCAATTGGCGTAACGTGTATGCGCGATACGATGCTGTGTTTGTAGAGACCGAATCGGAGCTTTCTGGCATGTGGGGCACGATGATTGGGTGCGTCCTCTTCTTTTCATTCAATTTTGGCAATCATTGTCACTCACTCGCTCTTGCAAGTGATAGTCCGGCTTTACGCCTCCCGTTCGAAAGAAACGGGCACCATAATCTACAAGTTATTGTTGGAATCCATTGCGTGTGCAGCCCCCTTTTTGGTTCATCTCCTCTCCCGGAGGATTTCCATTTTTCTCGATCATTGGACGCATTTCGTGCTATTTTCGTTAATCAGTACACTGATCAGCATCATACACATAAATTTTTACAAGAGTAACTGTACATAGTCATAGTAAGATATGTAACCGCAATCGCAGTAACTTGTCAACTTGCAAGCTTTTCTAGGCTTGTGACTTGTCAACAAGCTGTCAGCCGCAAAAAGTCGCAAAAAGCCGGCAAGTAATCTGTAGGTTTGCTGATGTTAGAACCTCTTTTAGAGTTCCATGTAAACACGTAGTTGCTGATTCACGTTCTGAGGAGCTGTACGACGCGGCGACGACGACCTGTCTTGATAAGACCTCGAGCCCTCTCCCTGAAAGGTGACCTTATCAGAACGGTTCTATCGGGGAATCGCATGGCGCGAAATTTGGACGCACGGTTTTGTCGACTTTTGCGAAATCTACCAAGTGTCATGAGTCAATTATACGAGAAGTCATGCTGGCTGTAGAGTAAATATAGCTCGTGTCCACGTAAGAGTTGCCGTTATCTGAATCAAGGCTCGTCTAAGAGTTTGTAGTGGGCATCAGTCGACACGTATACTTGAAGTGTATATGGTCGTCAGAAGAGAATGGTTAGCTTCTTGACCGATACTCGGCCGGCGACGTTCGGGCAATTGACGATGGTTTAGATAGACGCAGTAATCAGCTAAATCGTTTTCCAGATCGCCCGTATCCAATTCAAGTGGCCTTGATGTATATGATATAACTGTATGCGAGTCAGGGCTCAGACTATAAGATAGACACGCACTCACGCTGTTATGTAATTTAAATTTTGAACAGCCAAACTCGTGATCATGAAACTGCCTGAATTTTGTACATCTAGGAGCGTCGAATGGCCGGTTCCTGACCAGGTCTTGTCACGAGGGTATGGCATGTACGCAAGCCTAAAAATTTGTGGCCAGATAGGGTTACAAGTCGCTTACATTGACGATGCGTCGTGGGTGTGATTCCCAACACACTGCGGCGTCAATGGTAAGACTATTTGGTAATTTGTTCAATCGTGACATCGATGCGGGCGTCCACGGCATTTATGGGTATTATTGGTATTCGTCCTGTAGAGTTTTACGTTTTCCCCTGCTGCATCGTGTGTATCATTGGCTATGATAGCCTCCTTGGAGAACTTCGAGTCGTTATGTACCCCACCAAACATTGATTTGAGACCCGTGGCGCTTGTCTTTCGTCTCGTTTTGAGACGACCTTTTCGCAGTCGACAGACATTGAATAGGCCAGCGCTTATCCCTTCTTTCCTCTCGGGTCCACTCTTTGGACCTGGAGACATGACTTGCGCCGGTTCAGCGCTTATATCTCTTGTCGTCTCTAGTTTCGAATCTCTCGTGCTTCGAACACAAGCAGTTTTCCACAACTATCACCTGTTCAACGCCACGCTAGAACCATGCCATAAACCTCTTGTGAAGATGACGTGTTTTGTGTCATTATTTCAAGAGCGCTACAAATGGGTGCCCTAGATTCGAGGCAGTCTTCATGGGGAAAAGACGGGATTGGTGTTCGGCTGCAGCTGGTGCGTTCAAGCCAATAACATGGTGCACAACCGGTCAAGGAGCTATTTGAAAGGGAAGCGGAGTTTGAGTGGGAAGAGGAGAACGGGACTATGAGGATAGGTGTACGGATCCAAGCGGACTTTAGGTGATGGCACATGGGGAAGCGCGCATATCCCACTGGTGGATGCCCAACACGACCGTTTCAATGTTTTAGGCCTGATGGTGAGTGAAGTCGTAAAGTTCACCTGCGGTTTGGATTTGTCAACAGAGTATCGTACTCGCAGGATCCATGATCTCAATGCAACGGGGCAAGCTCAGGCTGGTGCTTTTTTCCCATAGTATGTGTGATGTTCTTGCGGCAGCGATACCGAGAGGAGAAGCCTCCAGGGGGGATCGAGGGCCTTTGCGCGACCTACGTAGAACATCGTTGATCTTTAACTGGAGTGGATATCAAGTGGCATGGAGTCAAAGAAGCTCTTGATTTCCCTTTGTACCTGAGGTCTCGGAGTTGCTTTAGGGGAGTAAGTCAGGACTTGAATTAAGTGGCTTGGAATCATAGAGAGGAAGCTAGGTTTCCTTTCGTCTTCGATCTGGGAATTTGCTGGGAAGTGTACCAATCAAGTTTGGGGGTTGTTGGGCGATACAGTAAGAGCTTGTGCGGAGGTCGAGTCGTTGGACATAATCTTTGAGGAAGGAAGGCCCAGCGTTAAACATTCAGCCCTAAATACTCCTTCAATGTCGCCTCTGCTACAGCCAGATTGCTCATGCTTGATATTAATGTGAAGCAGTTTGTGTACCACAGGCAAGTCCTCCCAGTCCACTCCTTCTGATAGCTCACATGGCACTGCAGACGCCGAACTGTAGCCAGAACGCTGTGGGCTACTTGGCGAATGTCGCGCTTCCTTCCACTGAAAGCGTACCAGTCCCTCCTGTACTTTGGCCATTTAACTTGTTTATGGAGGGTTACAGGTCTCCCGTTTCGACTTTACGTCAAGCGCAGTGTGCGTGGGTCCCTTCGGAAGAGTTCCATGGACAGTGTTATTGCATTCTGCCCCTCGGTGCCGATCTGCAAGTGCAGGAGGTTGCAAAGTACCACAGTGTACATTTAAACCCCAGGACGTGCCCATGTTGGCCTTTGGAATTGACACAGTTGAGGGAGAAGGATTCGATTCTTGCCACTAGTAGCAGCCATCCCCCGCCCCAAATTCGAATAGAAACGTCATAACTTGTAATATGAATCGCCTGGCTTGGGTTTGCGCTATGTAGAGACGTCTCGTCAAAGTAGCTTAGTTTTAGACCTTGGAAAACGACTCACGCCGCGTTGATGAGTATGGCTTCCCCACTGTAAAGCAGAATCCGTTGCTACTCGTAATATTGCGCAGATGGTTTGAGGCTGCCATGTTCCTCCTTAGACTTCTTGATGATCTTTCCCTCCGTCAATTTAATCCGTGTCTTGCAAAAGTTCACGAAGGACTATATCCTGGCGTCATTCGTAACTCGGGACACGGCGAATCTGCGTAGCGATAGGGGACTTGCAGTTCACCTAAGATGAAGAAGTTATCCAAGCGACGCCTGTAGGTGGCTGCCCATTGAGTGGCATGAAGTTGAGACCAAAGGTCGAATAAGTAGTGGTGGAAGAGTGGAAGAGACATCGCTGGTGACCGGGGACTCCTCTTGCCCAACAACCACAACGATGGACACCACACATCCTGGATACGAAGACTTCACAACACACTTCTCAACCCTCATCTCAACAATGCCACCACCATTCATGTACATAAACGACGCCGACGCCATCCAAACCACCATCGCCGTAATCGACAACGTTCTTAACCACCTTTCATCTGCACCAGGACCCTCAAAGATCAGCTACGCACGCGCGGATGCCATCGCCTGTTTCTCCGCGCGGCTCCTCTACGAATCCATAATCAACTCTCTAGCAAGCTGGACGCCCCAATGGGAGGATGGAGCCGTCAATTGGGGTGCAGATAATGGGGTGAAGTGGAACGACACTTTTGACGGGTTCGTGCATGGCTTACGCGCCGTTCATGCGTATTTGGGTAAAGGGAAGGAGAAGGAGGGAGATGTGAGGCTTGTCATCGTTGTGGAACGCGCTGAGAGGCTGATACCGGAGTTGATGGTACCACTCACGCGACTTGGTGAGCTGGTGAGTTCGTTGTTGTCCTTGCTGGCGCAGCTAACCTTCTTTGATAGGCCCGAGTTGACCTTTGTGTCGTGTTTGTCTCAGAGGCCCCATGGGAGACGATACGACCACCGTTAGGCACGTCTCCCGACCCGTATTTCTTTGACATTCCTCCGCCAACGAAAGAAGGTACATCTTCGACAAAAATATTGTCAAATCACTCACTTACTCTTTACAGACATAGTTAAGCACTTGATCTCAAAGTACTCATCCCACCCACCCCTCAAACCCCTCTACACGCACTTTATCACTACCCTGTGCGACGTCTGTTACCCGTTCACCCATGACCCTCATGAGCTAGCGTACATCGCAGCCGCGCGATGGCCGGGGTTTGTCAAGCCAGTGGTGGACGCCAATAAACGCGACATGGATCTGGACGCGGACTCTGACTCTGGAGAGGCCTTCCAACCTCCCTCCGAAGAAACCCGCATGCGCCTCAGTCGTCTATTCAATCCCTCCCTTTCTCTCGCCCTCGACGCACTCTACCCCCGCCTTCAAAACGCCACAGACTGGGCAAAGGCGAACGAACCACCGCCAAACCTCCTCGACAACCCTCCAACCAACATAAAAACCGCGCTGCCCTCTGGCGAGAAAGAAGCGGGTATCACCTCCCTCCCACGACTATCCAAATTCATACTCCTAGCTTCCTTCCTCGCATCCACCAACCCTCCAAAATCCGATCTGAGGATATTCGGAAGGGGGCTGGACGAGAAGAAGAAAAGGAAACGACGGGCGTCGGGTAAACCGACGAAAACGAAAGGAGGGGTGACGAAGGTCGCTCAACGCCTCCTTGGCCCAACCTCATTCACGCTAGACAGGATGCTCGCTATACTCGGTGCGCTCCTCGAGGAGAATGATGTTGATTCTAGGATACATCGACATGCTTCAGAGTTTAGTATACCCGGGGAGGAGACGGATATGGAGATATCACGCGTTGGTGTGTATGCGGCGGTAGTGGAGCTGACGAGTATGCGTCTATTGACCAGGACGTCGGCTGTTGATCGGTTGGATGGTCCGCCGACGTTTAGGGCTGCGGTGGGGTATGAGATGACGCTGTGTTTGGCGAAGGAGTTGGATGTTAGTCTTGGAGATCTTTTTTGGGAGGTTATGTAGCCGCCTAAAACGCAGCGGTCGCTGATTTCTTAGCGCTGCTTGCCCTTGGTTTCTGAGGTTACATCGGAGGGGCAAACATTTTAACAATACTGCCAGCGATGCTCAACGACGTTTGAGGTACTCGCACTAGCAGCGTTGATCGAGGCTTACTCTCAAACGTTGGAGAAAAGTTGTACGGGCTTCCATGTTCTCTGCCAACTTCATTTTCGTAAGCTAGGGATCATACATGCCAGTTGGCAAAAACAAGATAATACCACACACTAGTACACTCTCTGCCTGGGTGTTGGAGAATCAAGATGGCAGGTCAAAGATTAAACATCATCGAAAGTGAACTCGAATGCACAAGTTGCTATATATATATGTGAGAAAAAAATCACTCATGAAGATAGTCGATACTCTGTCTGGGAGTCGAACCCAGCTTTCGCATATAATGAAGGAAAGATGTTCCCCCGAATGAGATAAAGAGTCAGCACGACGAATTCAAATGTAAGTATGTGGGAGTGGGATATACCAAGGATATACTGAGGTCGGGATGCTGTATTTCTTGTGTTCGCCATAGAATCTAGATTAGTGTTTTGCATATTTTGTATGACCTTCCTGCACAGAACAACACCATCTGCACACATTATTCCGAGGGAAGTCAAAAGGTATCAGAGCTATACAAAAAAAAATCGAGGAGTAGAAAAGGAGCCATAATGTATACTTGGTGATTATTCACAGTACATCCAGTACACAAAATGGGCACCCAACAAGTCCAGAAAAGTTTCACACCCTGTTTATATTTGCTGAAATCCACCGCTACATCAACAGATGCACAGAAGTCTCCCAGCAAATCAAGAGGGCAATGAAAAAAGAGAATCCCCCGACGACACAAGCCAGTAGTGCAGCAGCAAGGTCATCGCGTCCACAGGGTGCAAGCAGAGCCCGTGGAGCTGGGGTGGCAAAAATTAGATAACCAAGAATGGAGGCGGTGCCTCCATAATAGTGGTTAAACTATTAAGAACAGATACTACACT